AAATAGGCAAGGTTTCCCTATCCTGGGAAAAGATAAGGGGCTAGGACCTACACCACCCAAAATCCCCCCGCCCAGAGGGGGTGGGCTGGGGGAATTCTGGGAGTTGAAGTCCATGCCTCTTAACATTGCCAAGGTTGAGAAACACTGTCATAGATTATTACCTATCAGCAACCATAAATCCCAGCTGCTGAGAGGCAATAGTGGAAGAGTGTTCTTCTCTCCTGCTTTGGTGCCTTGATGACCAAGGAGTGGTACAGAATGCTCCGGTCCCTGAGATCTTCAACATTTTTCTGTGCAAGACACAGATAGGACCAAAATGTGAATTGGTCTGGTGCCATTCCAACGTCCACCAAATCCTGTCCAACTCAGCCCTTGATATCTTTAATTCTGCAAGCAGATCACAGAAGCATTATTGGGACCTCACCTCTCTGCAGCATGTCCTGGGTCTTTGTTTTTGGAAGCTGTATAAACATATTCCCAAAGCAAACCGTGACTTTCTCTGGAAGCAAGGAAAGAAGCCTTATTTAATTTAAAACATCAACAAGATTTTTAAATAACAGGTCCTGCTTTAAAATCTCAGCATCCGGGATCAGGAACCTGAAACCCTCCAGATGTTGCTGAACTATAACACCCAGCCATCTCAACAACATCTGGAAGGCCACTGGCTCCTCAATCCTGTGGTTCATTATCATGGCACCGTCATACAGGACATACAGGCAGGTATAGTCTCTATCTGCCTTTTGGCACATGGTGAAGAACTTGCTTTTTAGTTGCATTTGGAATTTACTGTACCATCCATAGCCAGACATGTCTTGGTCTGTTAAGTGTCGGTTTCACTGTACTGACGCTATGCCTGCTGGACCATCGGCCCTCTTGGACCACGGGAACTAGTTTACCTTGATAGACAGAGAGGAAGGAACCAAAATGGCTTTGGGATAAGGCACAGTAGAACATGTTCAGTCTCCCACAGGGCCAAGACCCCTTTGCCAAGGGCTGGCCCCAAACCTGGAAGAATCAATGCATCAGCACAGGCCAAGCCTATTTATTCCACTTTTCCCCCATTAATGCAAAAGTTACATTACGTCTCAGACAGTTTGCTGTGCAAAACTTTTCCCCGGAGGAAAGAGGAGATCTTGCTGCCATGAGAGCAGACATTAGTCACTGACTTTAATGTGGTTTCAGAAAAAAAAGAGAGGAATATATGGGCACAAAGGGAGGGAATGTCCAGCATGATTTTGAAGAGTAATTACTACAAATTGTCACAAAAGGTCCCATTCACTCCTCATTTTCTGACATGTAGTAACCCTCTTTGTTTTTCACAGCTTTTAAAAATGTTCTATGGTTACAAGCAGCATTTCAGAAACTTGTGAGCCAAACCAACACTGAGAACAAGTTGCCCCCCCCCGACTGCTTGCTACCCCTCAGAATTCTGCAAAAAGGCTTTTGCCTTAGCACTGATGCCAAAAACAGGAGAGAATTTCTGATTTTCTGGCCTTGTATGTTATTTATTTAGACAGGTCTGTAAAAAACTATTTATTAGGAGATAAGCCAGCGACAGAGCTGAACAAATATTTCAAATTTTCTCGGACTCAGCATCAAAGTTCTTCGTGTTCCAGTCATTTTTCCAGTTCACGCCATCCTAAAGCCTCCAGAAAGATAACAATAGCTCAAACAGACATATAACCAATTTAAACAAAACCTTGCAGAACATAAAAAACCCATCATCTCCTAAACCTAGACAAAAAAATTAAGGCCTTGTAACATATCCAGAAGCTTAGCTGGCTTCCATGAGAAGCAAGTAACCAAGCTGCAGAGACGGCATCAACAGTTTTACCTTGCTTCTGGCCAAAGCAGTGAGGGAAAAATGATAAATTCACACCTTCATCAAATGAACGTTAAGAGATGGATCGACGGAGGCCCTGGACTCCTTAAGCATCTTGGAAAGACTGAACCTGTTGGAATTCCAGTACCGCAGCTATTAACAGGTGCCAAAGCAGAGAACAAGCTATTCTGCAATTCCAAGCACGTAGACTGTGACACCAGGACGGATACCTGGCTCAGAGCTTTGTATTTTCATTCCACTTCCTTTGTTTAGACACAGCAAATTCAGCCCACAACTATGAAGCTAGAGTATCTGAGGCCATGCCCTTTAATTTGCAGTGTTTATTCTAAAAAAGATACATCTTGAGTCTTCCCGTTACACTTGGGAGTTTGTTTGTTTTTTAAAAGGGAAGATGAATAGCTCTAACAATTGATGTATTTTTCTTTTCTGGCAACAATCATGCTGCATTCAGTTTAGCTGGTTAACATCTGCAACAATTAGCTGTTTTTTGTAACACTGAGCTTGTTTCTCACTTCAGGCCAAGAATGTCTTCTTTCACAGCGCAACAGCAGTTGATTAGTTCGCTTGGATCATCTACCCAAGGAGAGCGGAAGAAGTTATTCCAAGTTACAAAACTCTTTTTTCCTCTCCTCAAGACTGATTTCTTTCATCCCCCTCAAACCCTGCTGGCTTAGCCAAGGGTGGCTGGTCTAGATTTAAATCTGGATTACCTTTCAGGACAGGTCTGCAGCTGGAATTTACAGCGGTTGCTCCCACCACAAATATTGTAAGCCATCTAGAGCCACAAGTGATGGGGAGTGGATACAATTTTTTTAAAAAAAGAATAAATAAGAGGAGGATAGTAGGAGCCACACGCTGTACCGAGATGCAGAAAGAGCAACAATGGGAAATGCAGTCTGCAAACTTCACATCAAAATAGGCAAATGTCTCAACTGGAAACAGTCTCCCCATCCTAGATGTTTGAAAAAAGAGCTTAGCTCTCAGCCTCCTGCATGTGATAGGACTGTTTCTAGGCTAAAAAGGTAACCGGTTCCCCAGGAAAAATTAACTATCTTTTCTGCTTTGTGTTTTTCCCTACAACTCAAATTACACAATAGAACAAAAGGCTGTGTCAACAGATATGTTTGTTATGGGACCAGGTACAAATCCAGAACAATGAACTTTTCTGGAACCACCACCAACTATCAACTGCTATTCCTATGACAAGCAAGGGGGTTCTCTAGATCCAATACAAAATAGGACTGTAAAGGGGTAGATGGGTCCCCATTCAGGAAGTTCCAGGTTATTATATCCCTCACACGACAATTTCAATAGTTCACAGGTGACAGGCTAAGCCATTACAGGATCAGATGGGCCAAAGGTCTGGCTTGGCAAAAGTCATCTTCGCACAGTTCCAGAAAGAGACTCACCAGGACAGTCAACTTCCTTGCTCAGGGCCCTCAGGGCCTCCCGGTTCTGGTTCCGTTTCTGATCCAGATCTACAATCTACAAGAGAAATTGTAAAATTTCAGACTGTTCTAAAAAGCTCATCCACAAAGCATCTCTAATCTCCCCTCTTCCCCCCTGCAGGTTGGCCAAATCATCTTTATTTATTTATATACTGCTAAGAAATACTTTGCAAAAACAACATTTGCTGCTCATGAACAATTCAGGCAGCATCTCCTTCTCTCAAATGTGGTACATCCAGGAGGCAAAGCCAGTTCCAAATTCTGAGGTTAACCCTGGGAGACCTTATGATATGCCACTGCCATGCTAAAATGGGGAGGAATTAAGGAAAAAAAAAAAAGATTGGGCATGCATGACAATCAAGAAAACACGAAAAGAACTGGGAGTGTTCTACTGATGGAAGGATAATAATAAGAGGGAGATTAAGACATTCCTTAATAAGATATGAAAGTAAACTAGGCACTGTATGGAAGTAGGGTTATTGAAAAAAACAGCTGTAGGACAGCTGTGTTAGTCTACAATAGCCAAAAAAAATCAGAAGGCAACTGATTAACAAATTTATTAAAAAGGATAAGCTGCAGCTCATTCATCACATGCACAGAGTGGCTAAGTCTTTCTCAACCTTAGCAACTTTAAGACGTGTGGACTTCAACTCCTAGAATTCCCCAGCCTCTCTCAATTCTGGGAGTTGAAGTCCACACGTCTTAAAGTTGCCAAGGTTGAGAAACAGTGGGCTAAAATGATGTAGTATTTAAGCTTTTGCCTTTGAATGCAATTTGTTAGTTGGAAAAGGTGCTACCAGATTCCTTCTGATTTTCTAAAAAGAAAAAAAAGGGGGAGTTCTGTTATCTTTTCCTTCCGACAGCAGAAGCTGCCTGGCCCTTTACCTGCATCAAAGCAGGAAAGACAAGAAATCACGGTGGTGATTCTTTACGATGACAACCCAAAAAAGGGACGGTGCAACGCTTCCAATTGACCTCTCCAGACTGAACAGGCAATAAGCTGGCTGTCACTAAGCATCTGGGACTGATGGGCATGTTTGGAATTTTGAAAATGTATTTGCAGGTGATCTTGCAAACTCTTGTGGTGGGGGGCATTCACAAAATATTGCAAATAAAATGTTTCCCCCAGGGGATGTAAACAATGACAAAGGATCCACTTACTAGAATGCTACCTGTCACACCTTCCAGAGTCACTTGCTTATTTGGCCTCCTTCATTTGCCCATTTTTCTGGGCTGGTAGGCATATTTCCACTGTTTTTATTTTCTAAGGAAATTTATGAAGCCCATTTGGAGCTTAGAGGCATTTTTGGAAATAGCATGATGTCAGCCGCTGGGATTTATTTCACTGCACTGCCAGCTTCTCATTTACTTAAACGGGAGGGCGACTTGGTGGGTTCCAAGAGAAGAACCACCACCACCCACCCTCCCTTCTTCTCATGCTGGGGACCCGAATTGTAAACACACCGCGCCACCTCGGCCTAGAGGACAGAGCAGCGGGCAAGGTGGACATTTTGGTCTGACCCAGCAGACGATGTAATGTGGAGATACCTTGATGTTAAGCAACTTGGTGCTGGGAGAGGGAAAGGCATGAGAGAGGATCTCAAGAACGCCCCACCTTGATTCTCTTTGGTATAAGAAGGGGCAGAGGGAAACTGGCAGGCTTTCAGGATTCTGTTATTGTATGTTCCGCTCTAAAGTAGCATTCCTGGAATCCTTGTCTGCTCTCTGGCCTGGCCTACCTCAAAAGGCTGACAAAGCTCTTCTTATCAGGCCCCACTGGCTTTGGCCCTCTGTCTTCGAATTGGCTGTTATCATCATTATCTGTCAATAAGGATAATACTGGCTAAAATAAAACGCCCAGGTGCAGGGGGGTTGTTCATACATCACCCACAACCAGGTCACTGAAAGATCTAACAGATGCATTTGCAGAGCACGCTGAGCTTGGCTATCTGCTGTAATATGCTTGTGCCTGTGGCTTGACTTGGAGTGCAAATCCAACCCGCTTGGCTTACCACGTTCTGGGCCAGCCTCGAAAGAGGGTTAATTCATGCTGGAAACAACCAAGTCGTCAACATTACAGCTCTTGCTAAAACTTGTATTAGTTGTCAGATGTGGTATAATTCAGGAAAAAGCAAACTTCTGCGAAAGCCGTCGGAGAAATGGAGCTGGCTGGAGGTTGGGGCTGCGAAAATGCAGCTGAAGCGTGACTGGGGGGTTGATCTTTCTTGGCTGCCAACTGGTTGCCTGGCACTTTGCACCCGAGTCCAGTAACCTGAAGCTTTTCCAGCAAAACTAACGGCCTACATGGGCTGGGGGTGGGGGTGAGAGCTTGGCTTAATTCACACAAGCCCCCCCCCCAGCACCCAGCTGCCACCTGGCAACAATAAGGGTGCCCTGTCCCAACCTCTTTTGCTGTCTGCAATGCAAGCTGCAGAGCCCCCCCGCCCCAGGCCAAAGCCCCCCAGCTCAAATTCCCTCAAGGAAGCTCCCTGTTATGGGGTGGGGGGCTGCATCTGCAGAAGTTTTAAAGGAGAGGCTTTGCAGGCACTCCCCCTGGACGGCGTGCCTGGGCTTCCTGCCCACTGCAGAGGGGTGGGCTAGAGCAGGG